ATTGACAACTGCAGTCATGCAACGCTGCACCCAAATGAAATTTATGTCTTTTTTCCCCACAAATAGAGCTTTCTTTCAGTCGTATTTGATTGGCTGTATGTTTTTGTGCTATAAACAAAAATAAAAAACCTAAATTTTGAAAAATAAAACCAAAACAATATTTTTTAATTTTGGATATCAAACACATCCAGTAAAAAAATTTTAAAAAAATCAAATTTCGTCATAACTTAAGGCCAAAATGTATTCTGCTACATCTTTCCTAAAAAAAAATCCCAATACGTGTAATTAACTGGTTTACGTGAAAGTTATAGCATCTACAAATGGCGGTATAAATACTGGAATTTTTTTTTTTTCACACTAGTAATGGCGGCGATCAGCGGCTTACAGTGGGACTACGGCGGACATTCTGACACTGGGAGGGAACGGACTAACTGCCACTGACATCCCAATGACACTAATTACAGTGATCAGTGCTAATAAAAAGTACTGACACTGTACTAATGACACTTGGCAGGAAGGGGTTAACATCTGTGGCAAAGGATTAACTGTGTGCTGTGCATGATTTACTATGTAAACATGCTATTGGGTATTTCTGTGCTGTGCAGAGAAGTACACAGCAGCATGTTACTGCTGGCAGGAGAGAGACCTGTGTTGTTTACACACAGGTCTCTCCTGTCACTGTTCCTTGGCCATTGCCGGGTGCCGGCGGGGAATTTCTGGCCGGGACTTGATGATCGACATCTGTAGCCGCCAATGGCAGTGCAGATAAGGCGGAGTGCTTGCCCCCTACCTGAATATGCAAAATAACATTCACAGTCATTTTTGCCCAGCCCTGCCGCCCTGTAGCAGTTCTGCTATAGGGCAGCGGGGAAGCAGTTGAAAAACCGCCACTTTTACAGGCTTTTTTTATGGGGCGGGGGGGTTTCTGCCGGTAAAGCACCTCTGTTAGCCTAGGTATCCATATAGGTATTTTAGAAAAGGAGCGTTTACAGGCAGGAAAAAAAAAAAAAAACATTGCCAGTGCATTCAGCAGAAAAGCTTTTGGGCAGAAAAATGCTTGACATGTCTAAATGCGTGCAAATGTGCCTAAATGATGGAAACATTTATTGCTGGAGTGTTCACTTCAATGGAATCCATTAACACTCATATGCTTGACGTGCCTAGATGTGTGTTCAAAAGACGGCTTAAGGAACTTTTTTTTTAAACAGCTTTTTACTGCCTTGAAACTCAGCTGCTCCTAAACTCTGGTAAATATATCATGTACATGGACACAGACTTTTATCCCAAAAAATGGGAGATTAGGAGCAGCAGTGTGCATGAGACTTAAAGAGGTCCTAACCAACTGTTACAAACATTGTCTAAGCATCTGTTATCACCCAATGTTACATTTTATATGTGTAGAGCAATCGGCAAAAGTCACAGAGCAAAAATCTGCCACCACACCTTACAAGCATTTCATTCACAGCACAAGACTGGACAGGCCTCAGTGTACACACTTGATAGGAATGTGAAAAGGGACAAGTCTGTTCAATTTCACAGGTCATCAGAAGCTGACACTCAAATATCAAAGTGCTTGCTGACATATGGATTCGCTACTATGTTCAATAAATAGCCAGCTCTGCGTGCCAGTATAATATTAATTTAACAGTGAATTGAGAGTACAACATCTTGAAAATGTAGGCTCCATGCACACTGGCTTAAACGCCTGTGCTCTTGGCAGAAAAAAACGCTAATTTTGAACTAGCATTTAAGAACGTTTAACTTTTTTGTGCCAGAAAAACGCTCTCAAAAACGCAAAACATAAGAATTTTTTTCTGCCTCTAAACACTGAATTTAAAAATGCCTCTAGATTACTTAATCTGCATGGACACATAGGATAACATTAGTTGCTTCTACAGGCAAAACAGGAGCAGTGTTTTTTTTAAGCCAGTGTGCATGGAGCCTTAAAGCGGAGTTCCACTCACGCTGTCAAAAAATAAAAGTCAGCAGCTATAAAAAAGTGTAGCTGCTGACTTTTAAAAAACAGCCACTTACCTGTCCCTCGGTCCCGCGGTGTGTCCCCTGCAGCCCAGCCATCCTGAATTCCAGGAGGCCGGCATCATCAGTGTGGGCACCCGGCTGTGATAGCTTGCGGCTTCACAGCCGGGTACTCACTGCACATGTACGAGTAGCGCTGTGCTTCATGAATGGCCCCGTCGTCTTCTGGGACCTGTCACATGTCCCAAAAGATTACAGGGAGGGAGGGAGGACACCTTCCACTTTCGATCGCCTAGGCAAGCCGCGGCTCGCGAGCCACATGCGGCTCTTTACACAATCTAATGCGGCTCTTCTGTGTGCCGGGGCGCCCGCTCCCCTCCCTCCTCTCGGGCGGCCGCCCCAAAAGTCAGGACTCTGCAGCTAGCCCAGCAATGGGCAAACTACGGCCCGCGGGCCGTATACGGCCCGGCGGACCTTTTAATCCGGCCCACGGAGCGTGGCAAACATTGGCTGTCAGGATGTAGGCGGGGCAGCGTGACGAACTCCTCTCCTCTCACAGTCCGCCCTGAAGACCGGAACGGCGCGGGAACACGGCGAGAGGAACGCGCGGAGCAAAGGTAAGTGAATTGACACAATAGGGGGGATGAATTACTATATGGGGGATGAATTACTATATGGGGGATGAATTACTATATGGGGGATGAATTACTATATGGGGGATGAATTACTATATGGGGGATGAATTACTATGGGGGATGAATTACTATATGGGGGATGAATTACTATGGGGGATGAATTACTATATGGGGGATGAATTACTATATGGGGGATGTATTTTCAGTTTTAAAAATGTGGCTCTCAAAATAAATTTCAATCGTGGTTTTGGCGAGATTTGGCTCAGTTGAAAAAAAAGGTTGCCCACCACTGGCCTAGGCGATCGGATGTGGGAGTGGGTACCTGTCAAATTCGGGTGTCCGCTCCCCCCCGCCCCCAAAGGGTCCAATCCTTAATGGGGAGCGGGGGAGCAGTCCTTAAAGCGGAACTTCCCCTTTTGGGTGGAGCTCCTCTTTAAGTATGTAGACAGAACCAATTTTACTTCTTAAGTCAACAATTTGATATCTGTTGGAGAATAATCACATATGTTCCTGGGTTAGACAACCACAGAACTTACTCAAAGTAAACAGTACTACATCAAAGGCTCCCTCAAAGCATGCAAAGGACAAAAGAAAAACAAGCAAAAATCTTCATGCAAAATACTACTCCTGCCAAAGAAACACAAAAGCAGTGTGAAGGAGTTTTAGGCAGGGATTGTTGACATAGTTCTTAATTGGTATGTGGAAGGAGGATTGCAGCATGCATTTAGCCTGTGTCAAAAATATTTCAGTGTTGGTGAAAAGAGATACTATTCCAAGGAGGGGGGACAGAAGGGGACATCATTTGTTTATTAACAGAGGTGTTTGGAGTGACTGTGAATGTATGCATGTCTGGATAGAAGTTGCCAGTCATAAAGAGATGCATATACTGCAGTAATATCTGCCAATACTGGATGATTGCCAACACCCAAGTTAGCCCTCATGCACACGGGACGTTTTGATAACGCTGGTAACGTTAGCTGTGTAAAGTCACGTTAAAAATGTGCGTTTTTCAGCTTTTTTTTGTGTTTTTGCATTAGCGTTTAGCTGTGCTTTGCCATGTTTAGCACCATTTTCTAGTGTTTTTTTTACAAAAAAAAATTTTTATTTGGTCAAAAAAAAGTCCAAAAACGCTGGTGTGCGCAGTTTTACCGCGTTTTTCAGGGTTAGAGCGGTTTTACAGCTAAAAAAACTCCTCTAGAAACCCACTAACAGTTGTGTTTTTCTTCCAGCCAAAAAACGTTGATTACAGTCTATGTATGCATGGACACTTATGCAGGCCATGCATGGTCCGAATTGCGAACGATTTTTCATCTGAAAATCGAAAAAGTAATTCGCTCGGTAATCCGATGATGTCATCAATGATTTCAAAAATTGGCCGACCAAGTCATAAAGTTCATCCCATATAACAGGTGATACTTCTGTTCCTTCCAGGTCACGGCTCATGCGCATATGCTTTTTTTTAAAAAACAATCGTACAATTTGACCATCATTGAGTTGAAAATCGGTTGTTTTTCACAAATTTTCCAACATGCCCGATCACCGAAAAGGGGAGGAACCATGAAAATCTGCCAGTGCCATTGACCCACTAACAGAGCGAAAAGCGGCCGATTATCGGATGAAAAATCGGTCGAATTTCGACCCATGTATGGCTGGCCATAAGATAACATGCTGGGGGTTTAATGGCTGTAGAAAAAAAAACATCAAAAACAGCCGCTGTAAAAACATCAAATGTGCATGAGGACTTAAACTGATGATTTAGGTCACATGCAATCAGTCCAAATCATAAAATCTGGACTACAGCACATGCTGTAGTGGTGTACCCTAATGTTTGTTTAACCTCTTCATGCCGGCCGCACACAAATGTGCGGCCTCCCGCCATCTGGGCCTAGACGCCAAGCGGCCGCACATTTGTGTGCAATTAAGAAAAACATATGTGCTGAGAGCGCACGCTCTGCGTGCTCCCAGCACACGTCTGGTACTCACGGAAAGGTCCCGATCTCCTCTTTTCGATTGGGACCTTTCCCGATCATGTGACTGCCGTGACAGCGAATCACGGCGGTCACATGACCCTAAAACCCCGCCCCTCGGCTTCTGAAACCCTTAAAGGGCCCGGGAGGCACCGGCGCCAAGGGGTTAAATAATTAAAATCAATTACAAACCCATATCCGTTCTTTTTTCACACTTTTACCCTATCCAGCATGTTGCCTTTTACTTGAGAAGCTAGAAACACATATCCTGACCTCCTAAATTTAATTCACACACAGCAATAAAATACACTGATACATTCATCGAATTTTGGTCATTTTTTTTCATAAAGTAATACAGGCTCTGACAGTTAATTAAAAAGAAAAAAAAAACAGGAGAAACCAAAACAAAAGGAAATCTCACCAAAGAGGGTTCAGAACAGCTCTACAGGTGGTTCGGCTACAGAGGACAGGCTCATATTGAATAGGGGGCAGATCTGGCCTCTCTTTTATTGGTGTGAAGAGGGAGGCTACTGGCACCACCATTCTTGTGGCCTCCAAACGGCTGGATGGCCAAACGTTCCAGCTGAACCGGACTCCATCTCTGTCTTCATTTTGCTGAATAAACTCCAGAAAGGTTGCCATGGCGAGTTATTACTGTGCAACCTGGAACAAGTACATACAAAGTAACCTTTTTAGGGAGAAAATGTTTATTTCAAAAGATACACAAAATGATACAGATTGTTGAAGCCAATGAGACCTAGAAAGACGGCATCAATTTCATTCAGTGGAGTTTTCCCCCACAACTTAAAGTGGTTGTAAAGGCATAAGGCTTTTTTTTTTTTTTTTACCTTTATCATTCTTTGCATTACGATAAAAAAAACCTTCCATGATAAGCCCCCCTAAAATACTTACCTGTGTTCTATCTCAATCCAGCTCTTTGCCTGGGAGCAGCAGCTCTGCTTTCTCTCTCCTTTCACATGATTCGGAGGCAGCAGCGTCAGCCATTGGCTCCTGCTGTTACCAATCAAATCTTTTGAGGAGGGAACGGGTCTGAGACACACTGTGTTTGTCCATGTACTCACACAGCCCGGCTCAGAATTGAGCCCAAGGGAAGCAGCTTGCTAAGGGAAACTCAGAGAGAAGGAGGAGATGAGAGCACCTGTGCAGGGGACTCCAGAAGAGAAGGTTCCGGGTTGCTTTATGCTATACCATTGTACACAGCAAGTACATCATGTTTATTATTTTAGAAAAAAAAAACATTTATGGCTTTACAATCACAGTGGTAACTTTCTGGGTGTACAGACTGTCCGACTGCTCCTTCCCTAGTGAGATCTCACCTCCAGCACAAACACACTGGTCTTTTCCCTGTGTCTCTCCTCCAGGACACAACCTCTAGTTTCTCTTCCAGAGACTCCTCAGTCTGCAGTCACCGATCCATGTATACTGAACATTGTCCATGTCCTTCCCATAGACACTGCACACGGAGCCCAGACACACAGTAAGGAGGTTCAGCTCTCAGAGTGAAGCAGTTTCTGAACCCCCCCCTACCCTTCTGAAGAAGCTTCTGATTGCTGCTCAGTCCATAATTTTCTTTGTGTGTTTTGGGCCACATTCACACCTGCATATGAACCCGACGCGTTTCTGTGTGAGAACTCAAACATGGGGTCACGTTGGCTAGCTGCGGGAGGCAGACCCATTAAATGAAATAGGAGGCTGCTGGTTCCAGCAGCGACTCATAGCCACTTGCATTTAATCCTTCGACTGATCGGCCCTGGACACAGACTGTTCAGCGGACACGGACACGGACTGTTCAGCGGACACGGACACGGACTGTTCAGCGGACACGGACACGGACTGTTCAGCGGACACGGACACGGACTGTTCAGCGGACACGGACACTGACTGTTCAGCGGGACTGTTCAGCGGACACAGACTGTTCAGCGGACACTGACTGTTCAGCGGACACTGACTGTTCAGCGGACACTGACTGTTCAGCGGACACTGACTGTTCAGCGGACACTGACTGTTCAGCGGACACTGACTGTTCAGCGGACACTGACTGTTCAGCGGACACTGACTGTTCAGCGGACACTGACTGTTCAGCGGACACTGACTGTTCAGCGGACACGGACACTGACTGTTCAGCGGACACGGACACTGACTGTTCAGCGGACACGGACACTGACTGTTCAGCGGACACGGACACTGACTGTTCAGCGGACACGGACACTGACTGTTCAGCGGACACGGACACTGACTGTTCAGCGGACACGGACACTGACTGTTCAGCGGACACGGACACTGACTGTTCAGCGGACACGGACACTGACTGTTCAGCGGACACGGACACTGACTGTTCAGCGGACACGGACACTGACTGTTCAGCGGACACGGACACTGACTGTTCAGCGGACACGGACACTGACTGTTCAGCGGACACGGACACTGACTGTTCAGCGGACACGGACACTGACTGTTCAGCGGACACGGACACTGACTGTTCAGCGGACACGGACACTGACTGTTCAGCGGACACGGACACTGACTGTTCAGCGGACACGGACACTGACTGTTCAGCGGACACGGACACTGACTGTTCAGCGGACACGGACACTGACACTGACTGTTCAGCGGACACGGACACTGACTGTTCAGCGGACACGGACACTGACTGTTCAGCGGACACGGACACTGACTGTTCAGCGGACACGGACACTGACTGTTCAGCGGACACGGACACTGACTGTTCAGCGGACACGGACACTGACTGTTCAGCGGACACGGACACTGACGGACACTGACTGTTCAGCGGACACGGACACTGACTGTTCAGCGGACACGGACACTGACTGTTCAGCGGACACGGACACTGACTGTTCAGCGGACACGGACACTGACTGTTCAGCGGACACGGACACTGACTGTTCAGCGGACACGGACACTGACTGTTCAGCGGACACGGACACTGACTGTTCAGCGGACACGGACACTGACTGTTCAGCGGGACACGGACACTGACTGTTCAGCGGACACGGACACTGACTGTTCAGCGGACACGGACACTGACTGTTCAGCGGACACGGACACACTGACTGTTCAGCGGACACGGACACTGACTGTTCAGCGGACACGGACACTGACTGTTCAGCGGACACGGACACTGACTGTTCAGCGGACACGGACACTGACTGTTCAGCGGACACGGACACTGACTGTTCAGCGGACACGGACACTGACTGTTCAGCGGACACGGACACTGACTGTTCAGCGGACACGGACACTGACTGTTCAGCGGACACGGACACTGACTGTTCAGCGGACACGGACACTGACTGTTCAGCGGACACGGACACTGACTGTTCAGCGGACACGGACACTGACTGTTCAGCGGACACGGACACTGACTGTTCAGCGGACACGGACACTGACTGTTCAGCGGACACGGACACTGACTGTTCAGCGGACACGGGACACTGACTGTTCAGCGGACACGGACACTGACTGTTCAGACACGGGACACGGACACTGACTGTTCAGCGGACACGGACACTGACTGTTCAGCGGACACGGACACTGACTGTTCAGCGGACACGGACACTGACTGTTCAGCGGACACGGACACTGACTGTTCAGCGGACACGGACACTGACTGTTCAGCGGACACGGACACTGACTGTTCAGCGGACACGGACACTGACTGTTCAGCGGACACGGACACTGACTGTTCAGCGGACACGGACACTGACTGTTCAGCGGACACGGACACTGACTGTTCAGCGGACACGGACACTGACTGTTCAGCGGACACGGACACTGACTGTTCAGCGGACACGGACACTGACTGTTCAGCGGACACGGACACTGACTGTTCAGCGGACACGGACACTGACTGTTCAGCGGACACGGACACTGACTGATGCTGTTCAGCGGACACGGACACTGACTGTTCAGCGGACACGGACACTGACTGTTCAGCGGACACGGACACTGACTGTTCAGCGGACACGGACACTGACTGTTCAGCGGACACGGACACTGACTGTTCAGCGGACACGGACACTGACTGTTCAGCGGACACGGACACTGACTGTTCAGCGGACACGGACACTGACTGTTCAGCGGACACGGACACTGACTGTTCAGCGGACACGGACACTGTTCAGCGGACACGGACACTGACTGTTCAGCGGACACGGACACTGACTGTTCAGCGGACACGGACACTGACTGTTCAGCGGACACGGACACTGACTGTTCAGCGGACACGGACACTGACTGTTCAGCGGACACGGACACTGACTGTTCAGCGGACACGGACACTGACTGTTCAGCGGACACGGACACTGACTGTTCAGCGGACACGGACACTGACTGTTCAGCGGACACGGACACTGACTGTTCAGCGGACACGGACACTGACTGTTCAGCGGACACGGACACTGACTGTTCAGCGGACACGGACACTGACTGTTCAGCGGACACGGACACTGACTGTTCAGCGGACACGGACACTGACTGTTCAGCGGACACGGACACTGACTGTTCAGCGGACACGGACACTGACTGTTCAGCGTACACGGACACTGACTGTTCAGCGTACACGGACACTGACTGTTCAGCATACACGGACACTGACTGTTCAGCATACACGGACACTGACTGTTCAGCATACACGGACACTGACTGTTCAGCATACACGGACACTGACTGTTCAGCATACACGGACTGACTGACTGTTCAGCATACACGGACACTGACTGTTCAGCATACACGGTTCAGCATACAACGGACACTGACTGTTCAGCATACACGGACACTGACTGTTCAGCATACACGGACACTGACTGTTCAGCATACACGGACACTGACTGTTCAGCATACACGGACACTGACTGTTCAGCATACACGGACACTGACTGTTCAGCATACACGGACACTGACTGTTCAGCATACCGGGACACTGACTGTTCAGCATACACGGACACTGACTGTTCAGCATACATGGATACTACTGGCCCTGTCACTGCTCAAGGACAATAAGTAAATGTCAACAATGGGTAGCTTTACACTACTTCTGCACAAGAATTTCATAAAAATAAATAAAAAGTAAATGAAGTCTGTGACTGGAATCCATAAACTGCAAAATTGCTGCCTCTTGCGGTCTCTTTTGCATTGTTGCTATTTTTCGTACGGCGGTTAGAACATTTTTTTTAAATTCTATGTGAAGTGCTTCTTTAAATAAGCAAAGTAAAGTTTAGCTAAGGTAAAGCGAGAATAAACTGCCATATAAACACTCAATGCCAGAAAAAAAAAATGTAGCATGCTGTCAAGGTGACACTTGCCTGTGCAATTTAACACCTAGCAACAAATCAGCTCTACAATTTATAACTACCTGCAAGGTGAGTTACTTGTACAATACCTCCCCTGGGTAGATGTTTCTATGCAATTATCATTACCATACATACACAATTCACACAGAAAACATTTTGTTTTACTAAAACTGCATGTCATTTCACTTTTTTTAACTTACATTTTTAGGTGTTCACATTCGAACACACTTCATAAAGCTCTATCATTGTCCGTAAGAACTAAGCAGATATATATAATGCAACCAAATTGTATGTAAAGCATATGGTTGTTAG